GGACAACGCCATGGAGTCAGTATTCCGGACAACGCCATGGAGTCAGTATTCCGGACAACGCCATGGAGTCAGTATTCCGGACAACGCCATGGAGTCAGTATTCCGGACAACGCCATGGAGTCAGTATTCCGGACAACGCCATGGAGTCAGTATTCCGGACAACGCCATGGAGTCAGTATTCCGGACAACGCCATGGAGTCAGTATTCCGGACAACGCCATGGAGTCAGTATTCCGGACAACGCCATGGAGTCAGTATTCTGGACAACGCCATGGAGTCAGTATTCTGGACAACGCCATGGAGTCAGTATTCTGGACCATACCAAACTAAACACAAATGGAATAGCACACCAGGAATAGTATTGGAATAGGACACCAGATACTGCCCATAATCATAATTAGATGTAAAGATATATTACATAAGCATCATTTTATGGTGCTTGGCAGCAGTGTAAATGTCATCTTAGGGGTAAACACCAGCATCCCATAGATGCCGAATGAAAGGGAACCAAGAGCCTGGATATGCTGAACACATCACTGCCATCAAATGCTATTTATAGATGACAATGTAAGTGTTATAGGTCTTTTATATGCTTAATGGAGAACTATGAGGTGAGTGATTTCCAGTCATCCTCATAGTTCGAGCCGCTGTGTGACAATGAAACTGTCACACGTCGGCTCAAAAGATCGGGAAGTGAGCGAACACATACCGTCGCTCGCTTCTCGATCCTGTCTCTGCAGAGCCGTGACTGTCGCTCACGGCTCCCTGCAGGGATTCCTCCCACTCCCCGCTCTGATCCTCTAGCGCTGTTGCGGAATGGACGGGGTGGGGGCGGGTACAGCTGGCTCTGCTTCTAGATAGGCAGAGCCAGCTGTCAATCACGCAGCTGGGTGGATCTCGACAGTAATGTCCCGGCTGCGGACGTCTCAGTATATAACCAGGAGCTGTAGCTCGCGGTATACTGAGCTTTGGGTCACGGGAGGACGCTAGTTTATGTCCTCCCGGGACCCTTAGGAGAACTATGGGGAAAAACCCTTACCCCAAAGTTCTCCTTTAATAAAAGGTTTACAGGCACCATCTCTCTTGGGCTCTCTAGTTAAATGTAGCAATTGTGGCAAAGTCAGAGAGAATATCTATTTCAAAGTCAAAATGCATCAGAAAACTAACTAGGTAACTATTATTAAGTATTAAGTGTAAGCTAAAGGCCCCTATATGACATTGTAAACAAGTCCCTGCATTGCTAGTCACAGGAAACCCTCAGATTTCTGTTTTCAATCATATACCCCAGTGACCTTATAGTAGTTGCTTTTGTCTAGTTTTAAGGAGGAAACTATGAAAGAATTAGCAAATATATGGGATTTAACTTAATGTTTCAGACAACAACTTCTGTTATGTGGGTTACAATGGTAGGTTATAATGCTGCATTGTCTAATGTACAACTTCATCAACAGAGGCAGTGCTGTCAATCCAGAAAGCAGTGGGTGAGGCTAGGGGTGGAAGTATTTAACATAATGGTTACTAAAAAAGGACACACAACAGGTAGTATGCATCTAAAACCAGACAGAATTAAAGGTTTTATACAATTGGTTTGTGTCACAGGGATGGAGAACATAGTCTCTAGGCTGCTGTACGAGACATATCACAGTCTGGGCAAAGTAGCTGGCATTGTAACAAAACACTGTCTTGAGGTTTTCACAAACACATCAGCAAAACGGTTACAATCATCTTCAAGGTTCAGGTGCTGTACGTCACAGAAATATGCAGCACAACAAGTAATGTTTACAAAGTGTCCCGCAGTGACTGACTTCATCGTAACCCCATGCATGGAAGAATGCATGACATAAAGGAGGAGGGGGCAGCAGGGACCTACATCTCTTCCTAAGGGATTTAATCTCTCAGGTTGGACACTCCCGAGTTTTAGAAATACAAGACATACCAATGAAAAGAGTAAGTGGGAGCACAAATCATCAGGAACAAGACAGAACAACATTCACCTTAAGCAAACTATTTAAAATATATAAATACTATACTTCATAATATTATAATGTAGAATGGGCAGCTCTCTGGCTAACAACTTCAGGTCCTACTTTATATTCATCTTCCTAGTGTTTAATGAAGACAAAATAAGTACACAGCTTTTTCCTTTCATATCAACTAGCCTCTGAAGATACCCCCCAGAATGGCTGACATGCTGTGTTACAAGGAATGGAGGCTTTGCCTTTTCATTTGTAATGTGCACTAGAAATAAAAGACTCTGGCTGGTTGCTATGAGCAATGTGTGATTCAGGAATTAGGAGAGCACATAATACATACTGTCAGGGGCTTGGTAACCTGTGGGAAGAATTGATGATGCCTGCCCCTTATATTACAGCATATCAGCTTCAAACAACTGTCATGTCAGATTTGCATCCAAGAAACAACATGTATTACCGTTATCAAGTCCAGGAGGACACAAATTGTGGGAGAGAAGGAGCAGCTGTCTCCCCTCACATCACTCTTATTAAAATGATGACCGTCTGAGGGAACGTTACCACTATAAGCAAGTGTTACATTACCTGTGAATACATTTAAGGCACACTAGCCACTAACAAAAGCCAGTAACTGGAAATGTATAGACACAGAGAACAGATACATTAATTCAGAAGCTAAGGCTGCGTTCGTCTATTACATAATGTTCTTTTATATGAAAACAATTACATTCACAAAGTACCCTCTAGTGTGGGTCACCTAATTACATTATTTTCATCCAGATTCAAGACATTTTTCAATGAATCCATTGTCTTTTTAAACAAGAAAAATATTACTGTTCATTTTTTAGGTATGATTTATTATTTGTGAAAACAAGAACTACTTCTTGGAGGACTTGTATCTCTGCTAGGGAAACTGTGCCCTAGATCCTTAGGCTGCTCTCTAGCTCCAGTAGCATCTGCAGCACTTCAAAGGTTATTAAACCTCTGAAAAGGTATATAGATCCATTAAAGGAGAAGATAAAAGGACCAAGAAATCCAAGAAACAGTTGCATTCTATACAGCTTCAAAAGGTAACACTTTTTTGAAACTAGTAGTCTGAAAAGGCCACACTATCTACTGTTCAAAAACAGATTTTTGGAGAGTTTGCACAAGCCCAATTCCCAAAAATGTTGGAGGTTTTGTAAAATCTGCATATAAACAGAATGCAATGATTTGTAAATGTCATAAACCTAAATTGTATTCACAAAAGAAAATAGAAAACATATCAAATGTTTAAACTGAGAAAATGTACCATTTTAAGAAAAAAATAAGGTAAATTTGAAATTGATGGCAGCAACACATCTCAAAAAAGTTGGGACTTGTTTACAACGCTGTAGCATCTTTTAACAATACTCTATAAACGTCTGGGAACCGTTGCTGGAGTTAAGACAGGAATGTTGGCCCATTCTTGCCTGATATAGGATTCTAATACTCAACAGTCCTGGGTCTTCTTTGTTGAATTTTTCATCTCAAGATGCACCAAATATTGTCAACTGGTGAAAGGTCTAGACTGTAGGCAGCCCAGTTAAGCACCCGGACTCCTCTACTACGAAGCCATGCTGTTGTTAAAGATGCAGTATGCAGTTTAGCATTGTCCTGCTGCAATATGCAAGACCTTCTCTGAAAAAGACATTGTCTGGATGGGAGCATGTCCTGTTATAGAACCTGGATATACAGTTGTGCACAAAAGTATGCATACCCTGGCAGAAATCATGACATTTTGGCATTGATATTGAAAATACAACTGATCATGCCAAAAACTGTCTTTATTTAAGGATAGTGATCATATGAAGCCATTTATTATCACATAGTTGTTTGGTCCCTTTTTAAATCACAACGACAGAAATGACAAACCGAAATCACCCAAATGGGCCTGATCAAAAGTTTACCCTGGAATGTTTGGCCTTGTTACAAACAGACACAGGTTAAGATGGCAATTAAAGGTTAATTTCTCACATCTGTGGCTTTTTGAATTGCAATTAGTGTCTGTGTATAAATAATCAATGAGTTTGTTAGCTCGCACGTGGATGCACTGAGCAGGCTAGATACTGAGCCATGGGGAGCAGAAAAGTACTGTCAAAAGACCTATGTAACAAGATAATGGAACTTTATAAAGATGGAAAAGGATATAAAAAGATATCCAAAGCATTGGAAATGCCAGTCAGTACTGTTAAATCACTTATTAAGAAGTGGAAAA